TTTAATTAATTAACTGAATTACCTAATAATTTTAAATAATCAAAATCATAATTAAAAAAAGTTAGTGTAGATTAAATATAAAATTTTTATATAATATTATTTTAAATAATTAAAATTTTCATTCAGTTTAAGCAATCCCACCGAAATGCTGAGACCTAAATGGGAAGAGTAATTTATCAATCCATATCAACAAAATTATATGGATCTTTGATTTGGTCCCTAAACTGAAAAAATCATTAATTTGATCTCTAAACTATTGTACGGACCTCCGATTTGGTCTTTACTATTTATCAATTTACCTCAAATTAGTCTTTCTGTACAAAAAAAAGCTGACATGATTAGTATTTAATGGCAAAAAATAATAACTTAATGGTAAAAAATAGTAACTTAACGGTTATGTGTCATGTTAATAATGAGACACGCCAGTTATTTTTGTATAGAAGGACCAACTTGAGGTAAATTAGTAAACGATATGGCTCAAATCGGGGTTCCGTATAATAGTTTAGGGATCAAATTAAGAATTTTTTTAGTTTAAAGACCAAATCAAGAATCTATATAATAATTTAAGGACCAAATTGAAAATTTAACCAAATTTTATCCCATCCCGCATGCTGGATAAAGCAAAAGAATGAAATCGGAATAATCTGTCCCAAGACTTAGTAGTTAAGTATATATGTAGAATCTCATTAATTATTTAAATATGTATACTAAACTCATAAGCTACAAGTGCTTCTCACTGCATCCATTCCTTCCTCTTTCTCTTTATAATTATCTTTATTAAAAAATAATAATAATAAAGTAAAAGAATGGGATGATTGTAGTCTTATAGTTAGCCACTGGTATCCACCTCCCTCGTGGGATGTAAGAGAAAGGGCCCTTGCAAATAAAATAAAGAAGTAAATATCATAGGTGGGAAATGATTGAATTTTATATATTTACCCTTATCTATCTTCACAATTCTCTACCCCTTTTCTTGGTTTTTATCTGCCAATCCTTCCCTTTCGAATCGGTGCACATCAACGTAGCGTCGACAGCACACCAGAATCCATCTCCGTGAGTAGCCAGATAGATCGCTTCTTCTTCCGTCT